AGGCAAAAGAAAAAAAATTAAAAACTTATTAGCGCCATCCTCAAAATTAGCTAAACCATAAAACATGCAAGCAGAACAATCTGTGACTCAAATTGTGCTAACGCATATGTAACTAGATAATGATTATGGGCATAACTCTTCTAGTGAAAGTGAAGAATGAAATGTAGCATGTCTAGATAGCATTCGTAGTGAAATCTTGAACACGATAGATAATTCATTTATTTAAGTGTTTGACGATTTTCCATTTGTCATCAAAGTTTTGGCGGTAGTGTTGAAACTTAATCACTACATAAAAATTTTTAAATTCGAAAATTTAGAAACGACCGAGGGAGCTTTTAAGTATTGCGAATGTATTTTCGAATTATGATTTATCATCCATTTAATTCTTCTCAGAAAACAACTAATAGTTAACAAACATTTGATATTAAATCAGTAAAATAAATAAAAAATTGATGTATTTATGCACCTTTCAATTTTTTGGTGCAGCAAAAGAGTACATAAGATTATTTAAAAAAAACCAATCATGTTTTATATTTTTCGTTAACCTTACCCCTTAACAACGGGAAACTTTTTGGAAGAAACGAGCTAAAACTAAAATGTTGTCACATATTTTATATAAAAGGATACATCTAACCCTGTTTGCAGTTAATAAATTAACATTTGGTCTTCTAGCCGACTTTAAACTTGAAAAATAGGTGCTATAACATATTATATCTCTGAAAAGCAATTTTTTAAAGTTACTTTTAAAGTACGAAAGCATAATTTTTTTAAATTTKTGTATTTTATTCGAAGAAAAAGGTAATTTGTATGCATCATTTTCATTAGATTGACAAAATAATAAAAATAATAAAACKGGACAAAAACGTAGTCAATACTAATTGGCGTAATTTTGATGCTACACAATTTCAGTATATGGGTTTAGTTGAACTTTAATTAGCAGACTTTACTAGTAACAGGATTTTTTTTATAAGCATCTATATATTGACACAAACATAAGACTGCTGCTGCTTTTCACATTCAACCCAATRGCCTGCCCTTTTTTTWTTAATTAAAATAAATTGAACTTTGCTTCAAAGTAACATTTGGCGAAGAACCTCGAACCAATCCAGCTTACCTTGACTTTCTACAGGTTTGGCCGTCGTCGGATTCCTGCTGGGTACCACTTTTCTGCGACTCAGTGGCTTAGTTTTAGTCAATCTTGAATGTGGTGTCGTGGTGCTCGATGTGATTTCTTTGCTGCTGGTTCTTGTGGGCAGCGGTGTCGTCGTCGATCTTTTTCGGTAACCCACGCGAAAAGGCGATTTTGTAGTAGACAAAATCTGCAAAAAAGTAAAGTGTAGTGTTAAATCTAAGTTTACTTTATAATTTGGATACTTTTGTTAATTGGGACGTTTTTTTGTTGTTAGTTTGAATGTAAAAAGCAGGCAACTGAAAACAATCTAAATGTACAAAACCGTATTTTTTGAGCCGTCTCAGAACTGGGCGTTGTTTTAAATGTTTTTTAAATTCTCAATTATTGCTCCATCTGCTTATTGTTGTTATTGGAAAATAAGTTTGCAAACTAGAAATTGTGTGAACATGTGGAGTTTTCGGAAGCTGTGTTTCATTTATTTTCATGAATTTTGGAAAACAGTTTAAACATTTTTTTTGCACATCTATCCAAATCGACAATATTTTTTAATCCCTTGCCTCTTCAAAAGCATTAGTTTTGTTATAGCATTAGTGTATGTTTCACAGAATGTTCTTCAGAATTAGAAAGTTAGTAGATTCTTTTTGTGAAAAAATTATCTAATTATTTTTGTATGTGGGTGGGTTGCAGCTAGGTTGAACAAATCTAAAACATTTATTTTTTTGCTAAAATTTTGCTGGAATTGCATAGTTCTGCTCTTTCTTATACGAAAGGACAATAGAATATGACATGAAATAATCGAGAATTATATAAAAGTATATATATATTGTATTGAAATATTAAAAAACCTAAAAATCACCGCTTAGTAACTCATAACTAATTATAGGCTTATTAGGTAATAAACATACATTTTGAAAKATATGTTKMTTATATATATAGAAAGTGTCGAAGGCTGTATCTTTGTCTAATAAACCAATCARCATTGGAGTTTTATTTTCCCCAAGAACCCGAAAACTAGRAATTTCTGGGAAACGATTTGATTGAAAACGAACTACCAGAATAACTAATAATGATTTTTTGATSATATATACAGGGTGATTGGAAACTCGTGCAGAAGAACTGATAAACAATTTTGCTTTTAAAATATAAAAATTACATTTYAAAAGCTTTGCACMAGTAGTAATATAATGCAATTAATTTTACATACATAATTTCTATTTATTTTAAAAAGGTGTGCTAATTATGATGATCAATAAAATTTGAAGTATAGAATTTCCACCAATACGAATTATTCATTTTTATAGTTATTATTAGATGTTCTACTGAATTTCTTCGCTTTTTAAACATTTTCACGCCTTTTAAATACGACATTATGTAGGCAGTTTAAATCGTTCGGTTCTTYATTGGGCTTTTCCARCGGTTTTAACATAAACTTTGCGTCGAGCTTTCAAGCACACTGTATACAGGGTGAAGCCGGAAGTGTGACAATTTACGTATTACTGTGAATTTTAGCAAAACAATACATTCACAATGGTGACTTGAAAATTTAAATATAATGGATTTTCCATTAATTTTTGTCTGTCTCTGAATTAAAGCGTTTTGTACTTTCAATCAATTAAATTGCTTTGTAATCTGTTAATCAGGTAAAATCACTTAAAAATTAACGTTCAGCTGAAAAATGTATTGCAAATATTTATATTTTTGATTTGCAAATATGTTACCCGCTAAATTGTTCCAAGCTACAATTTAATGTATTACGTAACAGTAATCGCTGCTTCCTATTAAAAACGCTTTAGAAAAACCTAATTTTTCCAACCATTAGTACAGCATTAAAAAATTCTTCAACTCAAGCAATTCATTCATACCCGAACGCATATTTCGTCGTTTAGCCAACCAAAATTAATATTTTCAACTATTTCCAATCGAGAGGGTTTGAGACAACTTTCAGTAGGATTTGAGACACAGATGTTTAAGCAAAAATATGTATTTAACAATTATTTTTATCCAAAATATTTCATTAATGGCAAGATTTTTTCGAAGGCCTGTATTATAGGTAATGAATAAGTTGAAAATATTTAAAATGCCGCACATTTATAAGTAAATAAATTGATAGGCTTTTTTAATTACTTACATATTACTGTTTGATGGAGTAATTAGTGTTTTATATGAATGGCGATACAAAAGAAAGCTTTTGTAAAGTCAATAATAAGGTTTCATACAAGGATTTTTATTATACCTGTCCTTTTAGAATTATTTTTAAACCTTTAAAACAAGTCTGTTGGTTTGTTTGGTGCAATTTTTTTGTAAATTTGGATCCATCTCTTCTAAATACTTTTACGGCTATTGTAGGAAAATGATCAAAAAAAAATAAAAATGTTGGTTTAATTTGTCTATTAATTGAAAATTTGAACTAAAATTTAAAAACGAATCTAAAATTATTCATATTGCTTCGGCACTTGAAATAACGACTTTTTTAGATAAAAATGTATAATTGTTTTGTTGTACATACTTATTTACCAGAGTCTTCAGGACACACAGAACTTTTAAGGGCCAATCAGAACTTTATGCTGGGAAGTGACTGGTGTTTATTTCTAAACTACGGGTAAAATATAATTTATAACGTAGTTACTTGATATTAATGTATAATTAAAACTAAAATGAATTAATGTTATTTCTACGTGCAGAGTTTAAGGCTTAAAAATGAATTGAACGGATCAAATGCCACATGAAAGTCCCACTGCAAAACCTAAACCGTCACACTTTCTCGCCATATCAATTAACAGAAACTGTTTATTGATTTTTACAGTTTGTAGAAAAAAAAGTGAGCCGAAGGGATTTTGAAATTCCCTACCATTACATATAAGCCTGTTGTCCAAATCTGTTAGCATTTAATAGCTAATTAAACTCTTTTTTGGTAAAACTTAACTAAAACTGGATTCAGACAGATCCCTCCGGCTGAAATAAATCGTCTCAATTTTGAATAATGCAGTTCACTCAAGGAAAGTTCTTTAATTATTAACTGCATTACTTTTAGAACAATTAACTTTCTATATTATAAGGTAACACGCTTCATTCCTTCATCCGCATCATAGTCTATCTATAATATTTTAATGTCGAGAAGTACATTTCCAGTTAAACTATGATTAAATAATTTGGCTATAAGATTAATATTCATACTGAAATTATAGACATTATGTTCCGAGATAACCTGAGTCAGGCTTTATTTAAGGCTCATTTCCATTTAATTACACACTTTTACATATTTAATTATTATCTGCACATAATCGTTAGTCAACGCTACTCCACTTCTCACTAATTTAAATGCGGATGAGATCCAATTTTGTTCTTATGCAATCGATGTGTGGCTAACTTTTAAATATGCGGTTTAGAATTTAATTAGGTTTGTTATGTAACTTGATAGGAAATAAGAGTGTCATTTGGTTCTTAGGAAAATACAGCATTTATTTGGTAAATATGTGTGTTAATTCCTTAAGTCATCCAAAGCAATAAAATATTTAAACCTCTATTCAATCCTCCATTCATATTCGTCAGTTTATAAAAATTTCTCTATTTCCAGCTATTGAAAATGTATTATTTGAAGTTAATTAATTCAGCCAAAGAGAAATCACGACTGTTTAACGATTAATACAGCACAATCCAAGTGGGATTGGTACGCGATTGCCTTGAAATTGCGACACTTTTGTTCAAGATTTGTCCCTCCCTCACTTAAACCATCAAACCACGATTTAATTAACAACATGTATTGAAAGTGAAAACGACAGATAAAAACTTACCTTTAATTGTGTTTTAAAAACTACTTATAAACTAATGTTAGTTGATAGAGTTATTCAGGAGAGAAACAAAAAACTAATTGTACATATCACAAACATTATATTTAAAACAGAGTTACAATAATGAAAGAAAAGAACACCCACACTGGCCGACGCAATAATCAATTACACACAAGTTGGAATTAAATAATAGGTTTTTTACACACATTGATAATATAGGCTACGTTAGAAATAAGAGCACAGGTGATGAAGATTATCAGAAATTAAGTGCAAAAGTGTTACATAAGAAAAGAAAGTGCTTTTATTTCTTGTTAAAAAATTACATTGTTAAATTTAATCTGCAGATTCACAGTTTCTTATTGCAGATAATTTAAAAAATGGTACTTATTTGGGTTTGAAAATGGCTAGCTATGAATTTATAGAGAGGAGCTTCCAGGCATTAGCAAAAATATCCACTTAATTAACTGCTTTAAATCAATAGAATACATTTTCTGGCTTTTAATATGCCTGCTCGAAGCAAAAAAGGTGACATTCCAACAATTTGAGGCTCTCCAGAGCGAAAACTGAACCAAAAGAAAATTCGAATCAGCCAAGGTCTGTTTTCTGGATCATGTGAATCATTCCCAAGTTATGGCACACACAAAAGAAAGACAGGAATTGATAAAAGGTGCATGTTAATTTATACACGTGCAATAGATTAATCATTCCACATACAATCAAAATTGCTATCATAAAAACAATGGATATTTACATACAAAACCGTTTAGCTAAAATTGGCTGGAAATCGTCTACGAATGTGCAGCTGAGTACTAACCATTGCGCGTGTTTCACCAAACGGTCGTTGTTTAAATAAATTAATTTTAACATCTAATTTTTCAGTTGATCATGTGTTGATTCCACTTTCCTTTGTAGGCAACCTAAACGTGTCTAGCCTTCTAGACATTTCCACTTGAATAGGAACAATTTTGATCGTTCTCGATCCTGGCCTGGGAATTATCTCCATAACGTGCGCTTGTACGGTGCTTTCTTCATTATCCTGAGGCAGCACCCTAACAGGGATGAAATTTGCCATACTCCTCTGACCCTTTGCCAGATTTACTGCCAAATCCTGATCCAAAACTCTCACATTCACAAATTCAGAACGCCCGGTTTCAAGAACTTCATCATTCGTTGTGAAGCTTGGATTAAGATGGGGTTTTTCTGTTTGGAATAAACCTTGCAGAGAAATTGTGGAGGCCTCAGTAACCAGCAGTGGCTTAGGAGTTACTACGTTTATATGCGAAATTCCATCGATAATCTCCGGTTTTCCAGTAGAGTCGGGATTAACTTCTTTGCTGTTTGCAACTTTGCTTTCCCCAAATATTTGAAATGTGCGCTCCTGCCTTTCGCTAGCTGCAGCGTCCCCTACATCCATCTTAATATCAAACTGAAAGTTCTTCAAGTTGACGTTTTGAAGAACTGCCGAAGATGGAATTTCCTCCACTTTGGCTACTTCCAAGGGAGGCGAGTATACTGGCGCAAATTGAGTCCTACTTTCCAAACTAGTGCCAATCTCATTGGACTCTGGATCTTTGATAACAGTCTCACTGTTCCCATCAACTATTTTAATCAACGTAATTCTGGAAATTTCTCCAATTTTATCCAAAGTGGGCAAAGACTCGACTCTAGTGTCTTCCTCAATCTGCCCCGCGTGATTCTTCACTTTGGCTTGCTTGGTCTTAACTTCCACTATCCGATTAACTTCGATCAGCCGTTCCAATTTTCCAGCATTTGTCACCGAAGACGGATTCATCATTTCCGTTGTTGTGTCAACATCGCCTCCAATTTCAGCAAAAATATGGTGGAGGGTGGTTAAGTTCGGATCCGTAGAATCAGTGCCGCTGGTATTCGGAGTAGTCGTAGTCGTCTCCAATGAGGAGAGTTCAACTAGGGGAGTGGTAGACGAATATGGAATAGGCGTATTCATTTTTCGCTTGGAGAATAGATTTTTGTTCCGATTCTTCACCGCCTCAGTGTCTACTCCCAGATCCTCCAAACTGCTCTTTTCGGTAGTTGATGATGTTAATGACGCTTTGGAGAACTTTGGCTTGTTGGGGGCCTTTTTAGTTTTCCTAGCATCAGCGGGTCTGTTAACCACTCGAGGAGAAGTCGTAGAAGATTGAGAAAACAACGGTCTAGAATTGAGGCTGTTTTCGTGCTCTTCTACTTCTTCCTCATCGTCATCATATTCATCTCCCTCCTCCTCTTCATCGTCTTCGCCATCTAGATCGGAATCAAATCTGTTTCTAGCCGTGGTACTGTATCTATATAACAATTTGTTTAAGGGCAAAGGGGAAGTGCTGCGAGACGCCCTAGTGACAGGTTTAGTGGACGCATCCAATGCAGCTGTTGTCTTTTGAGTCCTGCCTCTGGTGAAAGATCTAGTAAATCCTCTTCTGGTACTGCTGCTCAATGTTGGCTCCGTTGTGGTAGATGAAGCACTTGGTCTCTTTGAAACTCTCCTCCCGAGTCCCAGCTTGGGCCGATCCTTAATTGACCTTAAAGTGCTTCTTCGACGAAACTCTGTCGTAGTTTCCGTGGAGTTGCTTATGATCGGGTTTGTTGTTTCTTCAACGGAGGCAGTCGTAGTTTCATCAGTTGAAGATGTGTTTACCGCCTCGGTTGCTTCATTTTCCACATCAGAATTAGCGATTATATTCAGAGTGGTTTCGGCTAATTTTTCGGTGGTTGAAAGCACGGTCTTGTCAGTCTCAGCGTCTGTGGATAGATTTATTTTTATGGTGGTGGAGTCTAGGTTTTCCGTCGTTTCCTGCGCGACAGTTGAGTAATTTAGCTCGTTCTCCACGTCGCTGCGTATTGTGCTTTCAGGAGAATCAGTGATAGGAGCTACATAGGCGGTTGTTTCCGATCGATAGCCTACTCGGGATTTCAATAGATCCTTCTGCGACTGAGAGGCGATTTCCTCTTTACCTAAGGCCACACGTTCCCTTATAAAGGCAGCCCGTTCTTTCTCATCTTCTAAGAGTTTATTCCTTGCTTCCTCCTCCTTCCTAATTTGCTCCTCTTCTCCAGTATTTTTGTTGAGAATTTTTTCGGATTCTTTGCGGCTATTCAATGCTTTTGTATAAACCAGTGAACTAACTGATTTGTTGGTCTTCGGTGGTACATCCACTCCTTCCTCATCTTCGTCGTTGAAATTGGTGTTGGATTCGAACTTATGCATTCGTTCAATAGAAGATGTGGTAAAGATTGTATATTTTGGCATGTAGTCATCTTCGTCTTCATCATCATCGCTATCATCGGCAAAACCTTCTTCATCATCGTTGTCTGCTTCAAAGTTAAATTCCTCATCATCATGATCGACTTCTGTAGTGGAAAATGGTGGTCTAGTATATAAGCTCAGTCTAGGGAATTTTGTGGAAGCAAAGCTTTCGGTTGTGGTGGATAGCGTAGGAGGTTCTTCACTTTTTGCATCATCTTCCTCAGGTTCTTCTGTGGTTCGTTTTGCGAAATTTGGTCTGAAAGTTCGACGCTTTTCAGTAGTTTCCTTGGGAGCAGTAACAGCTTCAGGCTCCGTTGAGGAAATTGGGAGCGAAGTTGTGGTACTTGCTGCTTCAGTTGAGGATTCTGTAGTTGTGGAAGTTCTGCCTCTAAATCTCGGGTTGTTTGGCCGCGCTTTGATTTGATCGGAGTGGGAAGCTCGAGAACGACCTACCAGAAGGATTCTTTGCTTCTTATTGCCTTCAGCAGTTGCAGCATTTTTAGCTGTTGTAGCTGGTGTTGTGCTAAGCTTCCGAATAATCTTCCTAGTCCGTATTATTCTGCTGGGCTCAATTGGAGTGTTATTTGTGTCATCAGCTTCCGGGAGTTTGGTGGTGCTTGCTGCAGTGGTTGTTGTCGTTGTTTCTTCCTCCTTCTCCGGCTTCACAATTGCTGCTTCTTTAGGCTTCCCAAATCGGCGCTTTTTCGGTTTATCGTCAAAAGCAAACGCGTTGATTTGGCTACTCTCCCTGATGTTGGATTCGGATAATTTGATGTTTTCACCTTCTTCGCCATTGAGGACGTCGGTATGCTCATTAGATAGTTCGTCCTCCTCAATTTCCTCATCGGTTTTTTTGGTGTCGTTTTTGGCAACTTCAAACCTCGATCGAGGCTTGAACAGCTGGCCTAAAGAACTTTCAGTTGTAGTGGTAGTGTCATCCGTGCTAGTGGCTGCGGTTGTAGAAGTACTTTTGTTTGGCCTTTGTCTGAAGAGGGGAATTCTTTTGCGAACTAGTCGGGGAGTCCCTGTGGTCGACGTTACTGAAATGGGTTCTGAACTAGGTTTTTCTGTGCTTGTTGGAGCAGAGCCGGGCCTAAATCTCCTAATAATTTTCCTAGTTCGTGCACTGCTGCTGCTGCTGCTCAGAGGAGTTTCTTCAGTGGTACTATTGGTTGTGGAAATTTCTACTGTGGCCTTAGGGGTGGTTGTGCGAAATCCTCTTCCAAATTTTTTGGCAGCGGCCTGATTGGTGCTGGCATTAGTTTGATCATCGCCAGTTGTATTCAGTCTTCGGCTCTTCCCGAACGCAGTGGCATCAATACTTTTTCTAGCTAGAGTCAAAGTGTTGGGTCCAGTTTTTGCAGACTCTTCCAAGCTCTTCTCGGTTGAACTGGAGATTGGCTTAATGGTCGCTGGGCGTCGCCGGCGGTTTCTACTGTTAAATTCACCGCCTCGAAGATTTAAATCAGCAGCTGTTAATGACGACAGATCCGCTAATTCAGCCGGTCTATACTTTCTATCAACTTCTTCGTTAGAATCCACCGGAAATTCAGTGGTTGTTATCACCCTCTTCCTAGTCCGAACAGGTTTACTTTCAGCGGTTCGCTCAATTTTTTCCTGCTGTTCCTTGTCTTCATTTAGGTTCCTATTCGCATTGCTAAATCTACCTCTCGCTCTGGGTCTAATAGTGGTGTTGATAGTGGAAACAGTATCGGGAGAAGGAGTGGTGGTTGATCTTACACGGAATTTGAAAGAAGATTGACTCACCTTGGAAGCTGGAGTGGTGGTGGTTTCACTAGCGGATTTTTCAGTTGTGCTTCCAATCGAGAAGGGCCGTGGTTGGAATAAACTAGGCCGTTTCTTTTTGGTTTCACTTTCAACGGGACTTCCCGTTGTTGTATTCAAGCTACTGCCAACCGAATTGTTTTTACTTTCTGTCGTACTCTTGTGTGTGCTAGAGGGCGTGATATTTTCCGTGGTGACTGTTTTAATATTACTTGAAGCCTCCTGGGGTAGAGTGGTACCAATTGCGTCCAGCTCGGTAGTCGGTTCTTCTGTTCTCTCTTCTTCTTTTAGTTCTGTGGTTGATTTTATCCTAGAAGCAAAGAGGATAAGATCGAGTTTTTGGGCAAGTTTGCACTCTTACGTTGAAGATGTTGAGGGCGTGGAGGATGTGGTGGTTTCTCTGCTAACTGTTTGATATCTGGAATAAGTATTTGAGTCAGGTTTCAGGGTCTAGCAGTTGGGAAAAATTATTCTGCTTACTTTGCAGTAGTGTCTTCTTGGTCAATTGAAGACGGAGTGGTGGTTCTTCTGAGTATCGAGTATCTGGATTCTGTGTTGCTGATGGTTGTTGAAGCTTGAGTAGTGGTTAATCGCCTTCTGTAATTGTTACAAATTTTCTATTTTGCGTACATCTGTTTGAAGTCAGGAAACGACGGTATTAATTGTCAATATTCAAAAGTTCTCGCATGGGAATGGAATTTTTGTTATACAGTGAGGCTTCCATAAAATTTGGGCATAAATAAAAAAGAATGAAAGAAGGGAAATAATACTATTTTAAGGGATGCTAGTTGATAGCGTCTACATAACTTTGCATTTTAACTAATCAAAAAGACCAAGCCTACCAAACTAAACTAAACTTTTTGAATTTTTTTCTGGATTGAAGAGTTTCGATCTTTTAAAACTTTACTTGTTTAAATTACCGTGTTATCTCAGTGGTGTCAGCTTCAGTAGGGGAAGTTGGAGTGGTAGTAGTGCCTCTTCGTAGAGTTTGATATCTGGCAAAAAATCAATTTATTATTTTTTCTTCTAAAAATTCAAGTTTTGTACCTGAGATTTGTAGGTTCTTGGGACGTAGTCGTTGCCTCAGTGGTAGATCCACGCCTTATAATATTGTATCTGCATTTAAAAAAATGTTTCAAACAGCACTCAATATCTAAGATGTTTTTTGAAAAACGATATTTGAAAAAGGGCTTACTTTTTATCTTCTGGATCAACCTCAGATTCAGGATCTACTGGTGATAAGGTGGATCGTCTAACAGCCGAATACTTCGTTGAAGATGCTGAAGGTTCAGTCGTCGATGGCCTTTGCCTACTGATATTCACATATTGAGGGATATTGTTTCTTCTTGTTACATCTTCGGTGATTTCTTCGTCACTTTCACTATCAAACTCCCCCAGTATCTTGTTCCTGCTGAAGCCACTGAAAAACGACAAATTTTGTGCATTATATTCTGGATTGGTTTCTACGATTTTCAGCTCAAGTTTTTCAGTTTCATTCAGCCTGCATCTGGATTCATATTAAAATAGCACTTTTTTCAAGCTTTCTAGCAACAGCTTCTGAACATTCGTATCACTCATGTGTGCCAAACGTCGCACAGATGATTAGATTTTTCAAAGTTTGCAAGTTTTGAATTAACTCTTGAATGCATTTAGCTGTAGGAAAACCTTAGCACCTTTGCTGCGAACTTTTTAATACTAAAATGGTTCCGAAATTTGCTTTTACAACTACTAGGACATCAATCTAATTGTATCTATAATCTTAAGGAGTTAGGTGATGATAATGCAATAAACAACAAACACTTGATACTGACTATCTTCAGATGTAGTTTTCATAATTAAAGTAGTCTGTTTTGATTGCGAAACGAAATACACAGCAAATAAAGGTAACATATGGAAAATCTGATTTTTTGTATAATGTAGATACCGTTGTTTAGTTAGTAATAATGTATAAAATATTTTAATTTACTTTGTAAGTGCGTAACTTAAGATATCGCAAGCTGAAAGCCCGAGAATATTTTTTAACCGCTATTTCCTCATTACTACGTTAATTTTATTATGCAATGTATTCCAGAGATGAAGTTAATTGCACTACTTGCACTTTCGATTATCCTGTTTGCGTCCTTTTCAAGAGCTGGAGAGTATGGGGACCGATTTCTGACTCAATACAATAAAATAATGGACCCAGACAACCATTATTTCTCCAAAGAAGGAGTTCCATATCACACATCGGAAACTTTAGTTGTAGAATCTACTGACTATGGACATGAAACTGATTCTGAAGCCTTCAGGTAACAAGTACCCTCTAAGCTTGACTCTCTCCCGAAAATGTATCTTCCAAAATACCTAAAGTAACTTTTGTGTACTCTCTTAATTGGCTTTCATTCCAGCTATAATGTGTATCTCAAAGCTGTATACGGGGCGATTACAGGAGATTTTGAACCATTTAACAATGCATGGGACATGATCGAGGAATTCATGATTCCCAAGTTGCAGACGAACAGCGACAGGTAAGACTCCTACAATCCAATCAGTTTAGCAACTCATTGACCTTAATTTTCAGGTACAACCCAGAAAATCCAGGAACGGCGTCTGGAATAACTGTGGGCCAAGATCCTATTTTCAATGAACTAAAGGCTGCATATGAGACCGATGAGATTTACATCATGCATTGGCTTTCTGATGTTGATAACGTCTATGGATTCGGTAAGAATCAGTAACTTTCAATCGTTTTCAATTAATGTTAGACAATTATTTTTAATACTTATTGAACAATATAGCGTAAATAAGCGTAATGGTTTTATCTAATCAAGAATAATGAGCAGCATTATTCAATTGGAATATTGTTTTTACCTAATCTGGTAAGAAGGTTTCTTAGTTTTAACTGTGCAACTTAGTTAAATAATTTGGTCTGGTTGGTGTTTGCAAATTATCAAAAGAGATACCGGCCCTTGGCGGCCATTCCTTATCACTGGAGAGTTTTCCTGGTTTTTAAGCCGTTGTGTTCTATACTGTTTTGTGTGAGCTTTCAAGCAAACCATCTTTGAAGAAGAACCTGAGACACTTTCAACTTACTTTCCATGTGTTTTGGTTCAAGGAAAAACTTTATATCGTGTGCTTTATTAGCAATAACTAACTGTAAAAATTCTTGTCTATTAAGTAACCGAAAAGCTGTGAAAACGTTTCAAGTAATTTTGACTACAAACTTTTTTGAGTAAAATAAATGAAGGAAAACATATTTCAAGTGCAATGAACTTTGAAGTACCAGGTTTTTGATCAATATTTGATGATTTAATCTATGGCTTTCTGCCGCCTTTTTTGGTCAGTGTTTTCTTCTAATAAAGATTCTAAACATTTTTCATTTAATTCTCAAATTAATTATTTAATTCAGGCAACGTACAAGGAGAATGTCTATTAGGTCCAGACGCAGATGGCCCATCATTGGTTAATTTGGGACAGGGTTCCCTATGGGAAAGCTTTAATGTTCCAACATGCGACAACTTTAAGTATGGAGCTTCTGACGGATTTCAGGTGAGTTTTCACCTACAACTCCACGGTCTGAGGTTTGATTTTAACGAATACTTTGAAGTTTTCCTCTACTGGACAAGGCACTCAAAGTTACCAATATGGAGCTGGACCAGATGCTGATGCCAGAGCAGTGCAAGCTGCCTTTTGGGCATCTCAGTAAGTGGAAAAAAACAGGCGATTTTTGATAAATACTCAGTCCTGTTTGGAAGAATTGCTACTCTTCCTTGGGTGTAAACGACGACTCACTCACCTCGCTCAAATCATCTGGGCGATTCTAACTGTTCCAATCTCTGATCCGAATAAAGCGCTCATGCCATACTGATACCACTCTTGAACGTTTTTCGGCCCTGACTTCGCCTTCATTCCATAAATTTTCTTTTGAATTCTCTTGCATGGTTGTTTGTAACATTATTTGATTGTTCTGATTAATTATTTTCATTATGTATGTGTCTCATTACCTCAATGTTACTTTCTCGATTCTTCCATGAATATTTCAAGATTCTCCGTTGCTTCCATAACTTCATCCATGGTCACCCATTATTTCTATTAGTACTATTTGATTTTATCCCACTTCATATTTCTGCAGTTGTAATGTTGCTCTTTGCATTCACATATTTTCAAGTTCTCGTTTATTTTTATTTGCAGATCACTTTGTATATCTTGGTCCCTAAGCTGTTCTCTATTTATCCAAATTATGTTTTCTTTGTCTTCTTTTGACTGCTACTGCCTCATCCGGAGATACAATTGGACAACTTGTTACATGAACATTCCCATGATGATTTGTACTTAGGCTATCTGAAGGTCTTTAATGCACTAGTTTCCTCTTGCTTGCTGCATCTTTATGCCGTTGATTGCTTAAGAATTGTTTCGGCAACAGAACAATGCTCTTTCCCCGGGATTCTTCATTAGATGCTCTTACTCAATTGGATCATTTAAACGCCTGATAACTCGATCAATACCTGCGCTCTCGTTTCTGCCACTTCCACCACCAATGAAAGAACTAACTAATGCTAAGACTGTTGCAGGTGGGCCGGAGAAAAAGGAAATTTGCCAGTAATAGCTGAAACTCTTTCAAAAGCAGCGAAACTGGGGGATTTTCTTCGCTACACGTTCTTCGATCAGCACTTTAAACAGGTGAAGTGTAGCCATTGCTTTCCTCTTGTTCCTTATATTAATAATCTACCATCAAGATTTCTAAATAAATAATAAAACATAGGTTGGAAACTGCATTGGAAAAGAAGAGTGTCCGGGATCCATCGACAAAAGCAGTTCCCACTACCTGATTTCTTGGGGGATTTCATGGGGAGGATCCTTGAGCGAAAACGGATACGCATGGAGATTAGGAAATTCCGTAGCTTACTACGGATACCAAAATCTCATAACCGCTCACGGTTTAATCAACGATCCGAATATCAGGTAAATGTTCACCATTTGCGAAGAAACCTTTCTACCTCACTTCATCCAGACCCAAAGCTTCAACAGCCATCGAGGACTGGACAGTATCTTTGGACAGACAATTGGAGCTGTACGAATATCTGCAAACCAGCCAAGGAGCATTTGCTGCCGGAATTACCAACAGCTGGAACAAAAACTACGAAGATCCTCCACAGGAATACAAAGTAAAGCAAGACGAATTTTGATAAATTGTGCCATAAGCAGGACTTTTATTTTAGGATAGCGCTTTTCATGGCATGTGGTTCAACTATAAACCAGGCTATGCTGACGCAAATCCTTGGTTTGGGTTCCAGGCATGGACAGCTGATCGAGTAGCGCAATACTACTATCTAACTGGTAAGTTTCGGTCAATATTTGTGTTTATAAACGGCAATATTTTTGATAACTTGTTCGAGTTTTTATTAGGAAGTGAAAGAGCTGGAGCCATTATTAGCAAATGGGCGAATTGGGTTGTTAATGAAATATCATTCGATGAAACTGGAGACTACACTTTACCAAGTAACATTAAGTGGGAAGGGTTGCCTCCAAATACAGTCGTTTCGGTTACGGTGAGTATGGCCTGCCTTAAAACCTAACATGAACAGAAAATATATGCCACATAATAGAGCTATGGGCAAAGCATTGGATCCGCTTCAGCCACAGCTCGAACCCTTTCATATTACGCAGCTGCTTCGGGAAATGCTGCGGTGAAAGAAGTTGCGAAGAAATTGCTGGACGGTCTCTGGAACCACCATATAACAGACAGAGGAATCTCGCTCGTTGAAAGCTTTAGCTCCTATACAAACTTCAACCATCAAGTGAGTTGAAGACCGAACTGGGGCTCGTTATCAGTAGAAACATATTTCAGTTATACATCCCGCTTGCTGGTTGGAGGGGCGTCTACCCTAATGGAGATATCATCGAAGAAAATGCAACCTTTTTGGGTGTCAGGTCCTGGTTTAAAAATGATCCGGATTGGGGCACTATTCAAGATTATTTGGATGGAGGCGCCATTCCGGCTTTTACAGTGCATCGCTTTTGGGAACAAGCTGATGTAGCGATTTCATTTGCAGTTTTTGAACTTCTCTTTGGCGAATAAACTAGTAAAGTTCTGCACTACATACCTTTCATCATTGGCTTCAGTAGTCGTACTAGCTTTAGGCCGGCGAATATTCACATATTCGAGTGAAGATGTCGGCCGATAGGATCCTCTTGTCTTGCTATCGGTGTCTTCAGAATCAGTATCCTGTTCTCTAGGTTCTTCGGTTGAAGACCTTATTGACACAAAAAATGAAATTTAGAATTTTTCTAGGAATATAGAAGGATCGCACCAACCTCTGCCTAGTCAAAGTTTTATATTGAGGCCGCCCTCGGGTATCAGATTGCTTGCCCCTACTAGCTTCCTCTCCGTTCCCTTGCCGCCCGCCGCTGTTTCTATTGGTTTTCTTCAGAGCACTCAACGTGTTTTTGCTGGTCTTGCTTAAAACTCGCTCATACAAGGACTTGCTGATCGCTGAAGGAGTGGTTGCGTCGGACGATGAAGTTGAAGGACTGAAGTCTTTGCCAAATTTCAACTGTTTCTCCAACTCCTCGATTCCTCCAGCTTTTCTAATCAGATCGATTAGTTCTTTGATCACTTGAGGGTCTTCTTCGGATTCTTCTCTTTTATTCGGTTCCTCCTCTTCTTCGTCTTCGTATTCCTCCTGTGAAATAACGTTTATGTTTTATCTGGCGGACGTTACATTAATCAGGAATTGACCTACATCTTCATACGCTTCAGTAGTGGTAGTAGTCCGAAAGTTAATGGTAGTTTTGCTGGTAGCCGCTGTAATTTTAGGTGGAGCTCTGGTGGTTGAAAAGACACTATTAACTGTGGGCTTCGCAGAACTTGAGGCTTCAGTTGAAGTAGAAGCGCCGGCTTTTGTTGTGGTAGTTGAAGGCTTTGATTTTTTATTGCAAAATACGTTTTGGCTGTAATCGCAAGAATCAGCAGCCTTATTGAAGTGCAAACCTGAAATTTTTACGTGGAAGGAAAAGGTAAGTTTTGAATGGAATTTATTGAATAGTTGCATACCTGCAGGGCACGTGAACTGATGGGCCACGATTCCAGTATCGCCCGGGCCTCCCAAGCACCAGAAGTACTTCTTGCAGTCTTTTGGATGAGGGAAAAATCCCTCGTCTTCGCACTTAAAAGCTGTAAGATTCAAATTAGTTTTCCTACTTTTGGGCTGCTCAACATTGCGAAAATGACGTTGTTAATCCTTTCAATCAGTAGGTAAAAAATATTAATGATTAACTAAGAAAAGTTAACGTTCTAAACCAAGCAAAGATGCGCGTGTCATTATTATAAACATGAAAGTGAAAATTCTACAATCGAACTCATGATAAGCGCAAAAACACACATTTCAAAGCGAACAACAGAGAAACAGGAAAAAACTGTAAACAATTGCAAAATTTTAAAAATAAATGCAACAATAAAACTGCAGTAAATGTTGATTTAAACAAGTTGGACAAAATATAACATACAAATAAACAATAACATTCGAAACCAATGGAGATTTAACCAGCAATGCTGCTAAAACTTGAAGCTGACCCGATAAAGGCATTTGACTGGGCACCCCGTCCGAAAAACTAATAATATTCATTGCGTGAAAACGTGAACACCGTGAAAATTAAAATTCATTTATATTTGTTAAAAATTCGTTTTGCGTGATAAAAAATATGAATTCCGCGTTGAAACGTAAATAAAATTAACGAATAATTCATGGTAAAGAAATCAAATTTACCTCCGCCCATATCAGGAGTCGCCGGTGGCTCAGGAGTGGTATATGCAGGAGTGACGATTTTCAAACTACTATAAGTCGATGTTTCTGCTGCTTTTCTCCCGGACTCATTCCTCCGCTTCTTCGCTGGAGTTGCGAGTTGGTTGTCATTGCGGATCTTTGGCTTAATCCTGCAAAATATATCGATTGAACGTACACAATGAAAACAGTGAACTGGTCTCGTTGATGTTAATACCTTCTTCGCCTGGTTGTGGTTTCTTCTACAATTTCCTCAGATCGTTCGGTCGTAGTGGTTCTGCTCGTTCGTGGTCTCTGTTTTTTAGGCAATTTCGTAGGCTTAGCAGGGGGCGATATCAAATTATCCTCCGTTAACCTATAAAAACATCACAATTCTTAATCACCATCACAATAATTAAAGTTCCTACGTACCCATAAGCATTGATTAGGGCCTCTTTGCCAGCCTCGATTAAAGGATAAGGTTTTCCATGGCAATTTCCTCTAAAGTCGTCATTATCGATAGCCCAAAACATGATTCCTCCTAAACTGTTTTCGGCTACATATTCCGCTTTCTTTCTAACAATGTTTTCGTCATCATAACCCACCCATTGGTTGTCTTTGAACGCGATCGGTCCCATTGCTTTGGGGAACGGTTCCTCCACTTCCCAGTCTTGGTTTTTCACATTTTCACATATCTGGAATAATAAATATTTACTATTATCCATTTTTAGTGCGCTACAGTGTCTGAACTGAATAGTTCCCTTATGACAAAAATGGAACAGAAAACACGGAAATGCTTTTTAGGATGGTTTGAAAAGGTTTCAAATGTTATTTAAAGAAGCTAAAATGTTCATTTTGAGTCGCCCTGTTTTTGCAAAACTACTGTTCTCCTGCGGATTAAAAATTTAATAATTCAATTAAATTTTTTGGCCTTTGTCGTGTTGCCTTACCTCATAATAAGCCAAATATCCATTTTCTCTTGTGGCTTCTCCCATGTCTCCTGGTCCATCAGCAGGTGATCCAATTTCGTACGCTTCCGGATTAAATAAAGTGTAGGAGCGTCCATACGTGGGAATACCAAGAACCAATTTATTGGGATCTGCTCCCATTTTTAAGTAGTGTTTTATCGTGTAATCCTAAAATAATTAAAAATAATGATTGATGAGAAGATTATTTTTTTCTCAATAGAACGATGGCTAACAACATTATAAATTTCAGAAGTTTAGATAATGCAGAAATTAAAGTAAAACTGAAATTAATTATTAGAATAAAAAGCAGACAAATTCAATTTTTTTTCTTCAACATGAAGAAAAATTTGTTTGTTCCTCAATTTTTAGTCATTTATGTGCAAACTTTATAACAATAGTAGACATTTTATGACATATTTTTTAAACAAGTAAAATTGTACAGCTGCAGTTTAGTAAACCAAGAATCTTCAAATTCCCAAAAAAACTTTCCTGTTTAAAATATCAATTTCGCTCATGTTTATTTAGATTCAATCAAATATTATAAACTGCAACTGGTAGAAAATATCTGTAGTTTCTTTACTTTAAGCAGTTTAATTAATTTTATTTGTGTTTTTATTTTACAAGATGAATGGCAAGCACACGAGGTGATTGACAGCATTATTTTAAGACGAGAAGTTCTACTAAATGAAAATAGAATGTGTTAAAGTTTCTGCAAAAACGTTGCAGATCTCCATAGCAATCGAGTGATGAAAATAAATTACATTTATTATTAAAAATTATCAAATTGTGGAAAATTTCTTTTCTCAGGTCAAATATAACCATTTAATCTTCTTTATATAGAATTTCGGAAACTTTCTAAGATGTCCAATCGATTTTTTGCTTCGTTAAAAGCATAAACCGAAAAAATTTATTAAGTTTAAATTAAAATAACTGTTTTAGTCAAAATTCTAAGATGTGCATTAACACGATTTTTATTTTCTAATTGGGAAATAATGCATTATACGAAGAAAAGTCAAAAGATATTTTTTGTTTTAAATCGAACCAGTTATAAAACGATTTAATTAGGTTTTTGGTAAATCAGTGGTGCAGCATTTTTTTCAAAAATGGAATTACATACGGTACGCTGTACGCTGCCACAGGTAGAACAAAAAAGGTTTCGATCATAAGGATCGCAACCACTAGATGGTTAAAGATATTTGAAAAATGTTAATTAAAGTATTTCAAACGGTTTCGGGTATACAAAATAATTTTTATGATTCCTAATAAAACTTTAACGCTCTGTATTTTCCAGACCTAAAAGCCCTGGTTTGTTAGAGTTCTTTTGAATCGCTCAGTGCGTTTTTGTAGATAGTTTTGAAAGTCTTTAGAAGGACAAGAAGGACTTTTTCCTCGAGTCTTCAATGTTCTCCATTATCTTTGCAACAATAGCATTACTAATAATTGCAACTATTATATCAGCAATTGGAGTTATCAGTTCGATTATACAAAAAAGTAAGTGCTTTCGCCTAAAATATTTCAACAAGCCATTCTAAAACCATTCGTATCAATTGAATTCCATCGAAATTTTCTAGAACACTATTATAGGCCAAGTGAAACCGCCAGATTTGTCTTTTTATCAGCATTATGACATTATGCTTTTCACCTCCAGTTATTAATTTCCTCATCGATTAAAATGATTCAACATAAATTAGCAATGCACGACCTGATAATTGACTAACCAATACTATAGAAAATATGACCAGATTGGGTAAACACTTCTTCATTTACTTTTTTAGAATTTTCGCTGTGCTATCTTGCAAACATTTGATTTAGATTTAAAGAACCAGATTATCTTCGCATTGGACTATTGCACAATAAATCGTCTACTTACGATATTGAGCTCGCCGTCGTAATTATATTCACTATCTTCCTCCAGTGAGTAAAGAGGTGCATGATGATTGACTGCGGGTTCGAATGCTGAATGATAGTCGTAACTGAGAATATTCATCCAGTCCAAATATCTGCCAAAAAATTACATATTTGCCGTATATTGAAACAACAAACATTAAGTCAAATTGGATAGTTTCTAGTGATAGTAATGTTATAAATTATGAATGAAAAAATTGCAATCACTTTTGGGTAGTTTTAATAAAATTGGCAATAAATTCACAAGTTGCCTATGAGAATTGTTCTGTGCATTAAGCTGTGCAATTCTTCAGAAGGATGATCTAAACAGTATCAACAGCCTTTCACGTTATTGTAGAAATCGTAATCATTTAGCAAACAACCACCATATACGGATATATACCAGAAGAAACTTACTTGGTCAATTTAGGTACGTCGTATCCTTTGTTAATATATTCTATACCAGCCGGCACTGCCATCGTTAGAAGCAATCTAGGCCTGCCAGTCTTTTCGGATTCCCTTTCAAATTCCTCTCGCAATTCCTGCAAAAAAAATTGCGTCAAGGAAGACATTTAAACCTACATGCAATAGATTGTAAACGAATAAATCAACTCATAATCTATAGTTTACATCCATTAAAAGCTGGTTGGTTAATAAAATCCGCAGTTAACACCATTATTTTGCGATAAAATAGTATTTAAATATTTTGCAATTTTGTTATGTTTTTAGTTATTTTTATTGAATTTCTTAGCTCAAAGGCATTTGATAACTTTGGTTTTTTTAATTCAACGCTTAGTACCAGTACTGCTAGAGCAAAGAAGAAATCAAAAGGAGCATTAAACCAATATAAAATGCTGGTTCACTACATTCATTGTTTACACGTTTCAATTAATTGCCACTTCAAAAACTATCATTTGATTCGTTATTATAAGCATCATCTTCATCTCTATCAATATCATTGTATTTTCATGTACAAATTGTTTTATATTGGAAAATTATTTAGCGCAATTGTGTACTCTGCTCTAGCCCATTAAACTACTAAGCCAATTAGAACTTGTGTTAAGTATATAGGGTGTCTCAGAAAATGTGGACGTGATTGCGGATACATATACAGGATGTTTAACTAACATGAAAAGTGCCTATACATTTCTGAGGTAATAACTTTTCGAGTCTGGTAATTTATTACACATAGTCATTTAAGGCTTTTAGTCTTAAATGTGCTGGTCCTTTGTGAGAGGTGGAGAGTTTTGAGGCTTGAGAGTCATTAGTTTAACAAAGTGGGTGGTAATTTGGAAGAAGCTAGGATTTTGTGGTTTTGGCTTTGTTTAAGACTTGTTGAACAGTTTAAATTTTGAAAACAAGCTGTAAATTTTGGAGATAAAAAGCCGGGTTTTTCGTTTAAGGAGGATGTTTCCAAGGGGGTCTGCCATTAAACTAGTGGGAGTTTTGAAGTTGAGCTTTGGGGTACGGGAGAAGGTGTCCTGGATTAGTCTGGTTGCGTTGGTTTTAAATTTTTTTGTGGATTTCTGTGGAGGTTTGTGTGAATTTGGGAGTTTCGAATGTACCATGGAGCGTGGGTAATTCGACGTAGGAGTTTGTTTTGAAATGTGGAGAGTTTGGTAATGTTGCTTTGGAGGCCCGGCTTATGACTCCGTAGCAAATTTGAGCTCCGATTATTCGTTTGTAAAGTAAAATTTTGTTTTTGAGTGAAAGTGTGCTTTTGTTTTTAAGAAGCGGGTATGGGTAAGCGGCTGTTCGAATTCCTTTCTTAATGATTTTGTTTATATTTTCAGCAAATTTGAGTTTAGAGTCCATTATTACCCCAAGATATTTGAGTGATTTCGTCTATTCAACATGGCTTTGGTTTTTCTGAGTTAATTTTCATTTTGCAGGTATCGGTCCAGTCTTGAAATGAGTTTAAGTGTTGTCGTAAGGGGGGATTATGTATTATGTATTATTTATGATATTCTTATCTCTCCTGGGTCTCAGTCAGAGTGTGAAGTAAAAATTTTGAACATCGTTTATTTCATTACGTTTCGGCGAGACAACAGCGCCATCATCAGATTTACAATTTACACAAACTCGTGATTGGTAAAAATCAACGTGCTTTTAGGTCTTTGCCATCTTGAAACCTTGTTACCAATCATGAGTTTGTGTAAATTGTAAATCTGATGATGGCGCTGTTGTCTCGTCAAAGCGTAATGAAATAAACGGTGTTTCTAGTTTTAAACAGTTCTTCGGTAAGTTTGGATATGCTGTAGAGGAGGCTGATGGCTCTCCAGTTTTGGGGAAAAGCTTTGTTTTCAGTGAGTTTGGGGATTAGTATGATTCGGCGGTTTTACAAGATGTAGGAAATTTTCCGAAGGATAAGCAAGTGTTACTTAGAGTGAGGATTTGATTAAGGAGTTTTTCGAGGAGATGTTTTAGGATTTTGCTGTTCAATGACGACTGCTAGGTTTAGGAGGCACTTGACCTCAAAGATTTTGGTTTGCCCTTTGTGCAAAAGTATTTTAAGCATATTTGTGTCTTTTTTTAGATTATCTATTTGGAAGAATTGAATTTCGGAAGGGTTGAAACCTAGCTCATCAAATTCAGTTTGGATTTCACTTAACGACATTTTCACATAAAGGTCCTTATTTACAGCAGTCAGTTTTTTGTCCTAGGAAAGGGTGTGAGTATGGAACTCAATTTGTTCACGGAAGAAGTGCTTTGTGATGGCACAGAAACTTTCTCTGGGTTCTAAAATTGACAATTGTTTTGGACTATTAAAACGACAAACAACCCGGCTTTTGTCCATTCAGAGACATTCCTGATGAACGCAGGTGACTTTGGGGCATTTTTGGGAAAGTGATAACTTCTTATGGTACTGTGTGAATGAATTGGAATGCGTAACTACATCGTTATAGATTAACACAAGTAGTAGTAGTATATAAGTGTGTAGTCAGTGGTCCGTTCGTGTGAATATAATAGTGTGCAGTCTGTGTGTCGGTGTATTTTAGATGCGTATTCGTCCGAACTGCTTTCCTCAGAAAACGTGCAAAAGGGAGCTAATGATCCAATTTCATGAAACTGCAAAGGCAATTTTCATCTCAAGCTCGTCCACTAGATCCAAAATTAATTGTATGCATTTGCAAGAAACATTGTTTGATAACCGTATCACGAATGGTGATAATATCGGAAGATGATGACAATCTGCAGAAACTACTTTATAGATTCGCAAGAGCTGCAAAGAATTAAACATGGTGATCTCTGTCCAGAAATCGAAGTCGCTCACAATATCAAAGGAACCGAGAAGGTGTAAGTTAGCGATCTACAATAAAATTGTAGAACAGATCATGTCTTTCAAATACTTAGCAATTAATATCACAAATAATAGAAACTTTAAAGAAGAAGACCGAACACAAAAAATTGCAGCAGCTGGGACACAACATGGGAAAATAAACATATCAGTACTGAAACACGAGGAGAGACAACCACTACTAAACAACTGCTAAGAACAACCGAAATGGAGAGGAAAAACAATCCGCTAAGATCAATTAGAGGGCAAAACGCTTCGAGACAGCGATATCAGAGCCGAATGTAATATTCCAGACATTTTAAGATGATCCAAAATAAGACCAGCATGGAGAGACAACGTCGGCAGAATGGATGATAATCGACTTGCAGACCAAACTCCAGGAAGACCCCCAGAAACGATGGTTCGAAAGCTGAACATCGGAATGAGAACTTACAGCTACAGCTTGAAAACAAGAAGAATAGGGAAAGAAGAAACTTTTTATATATGGAATCCGAGCAATAAATCTCGTAAAACTTAACCAATAAAGATACTGATTAAACTGGTGTTAAAATAATGTTCAGCCTTCTCATCATCTCACTCTAAAAAGCATAAAATTTGAAGAAACATACCTTAACAAGCTGAGCATAATTATCTCTATCCCTCGGTTTGCCACCATCTCTAAACGTTGGATACTCCCAATCCAGATCCAACCCATCAAAGTGATTTTGCCTCAGGAACTTTATGGTGTTCTTCACTAATTCCTTCCTTCTTTCAGAACTGGCCACCATAGATGAAAACCTGGTAGAACCTTCGTTCCATCCTCCAATGGCTATCAGGGTTTTGAGGTCCTTGTTATAAGTTTTCAGGCCTGTAAACTTGGCGTAGCCTCCTGAAAAATACATAGAAATGTATGGCTTTCACCTAATGACTAACTAGTCATTACACGTGGTTGGGTTAATTAACAGTTTTTTTAATTTTGTATAACGTAAACATTTTATTTCACAGTATTTATGAGGAAAGACATTTAAATTCAATGTCAACTAGTAAAACCATAGGACTAATTAATATTCGAAATTCCACAACAGGAGTTTTTTACTTTATTGTCCATTTTAGAGTATTTAATCGCACTACTAATAAGAATATGATCACCTTGACTTGGAATCTTAAGCAAGTTGGTTTCTTAAAAAAATATAAAATCGAAAATATGTAGTCGATCAGCGACGTGAAATATAAAAATGTGCCTGATTTACGGTCAATGTTGTGTTTTTTTATTCATCTTAAGAATTCATCCTATGCAACATAATTCTACACACGCAATATAATTTTTCGCGCATAGAATAGGAAATGTTCCTATAATCTTTATATATACTAAATGTCAGCAATTGTTAATTCTTCAAGAAATTTCCTGCGGCCTTGGAGCCAATATTAAAAATGACGATATCTAACGACACTCCTAAGAATTCAACAATATTATCTTGATGATGGATGTCGTAATGCGAATTTGCTAATTTTTCTCATGCAGCTGGTGGCTGGAAATTCACTCACCTTTTTCAATGTCTTGATACTTATCAAACGGCTTGAGAGTGTTTTCTTTGGTAAATCCTCCGAATGCGTAAACTAAATGGGTGCATAAATAGGGGTTGATGTTTTGGGGGCTGAATTTCGCCTGTCCTGGACGGTAAACCGACCAATTGGTGTAGTAGCAGACTATTCGCATTTCTTTTGAATCTGAAATTAATTTCGTTAACATTTTTTATATTAGTCTTTGCATGACCAGCTCAATACCCTTAATGCTACAATTTTTTTAACTGCACACCCTTTCTTTGTTAATTAAGCCGTCACATTCGTAAAAAATGATTTAGATTCATTAACAATGAATAATGCCAACATCAGTGGAACGATTGCAGAAAAGTCAAGGCTAAAATCTATTATTGTAAATAACCTTAAGCAGAAACCCCCATGACAAAAAAAATGGTTAGGTCATCTAGCAAAGTATTAATTGTGTTAACCAACCCACAAATTGGGTTTAACTAGCAAATGTATTAAGAAACATGTCATTGTCTTACAAATTGATAAAAATTGTTGAAAAAAAGCAGAAAATTCAATAAAATTGAAGAGTTTTATCTCGAGATCTCTTGATTTTTTTTCAAATTTTTATTGTTGTGTTGCTTTATTTGGTTGATTTTTATTTGCAGCCCATAACAATAATGATGAGCAATTTTAACATTTGTAATAAGAAATTCTTTGACTGTAATATGTGAATAATATTCTAAATTCGCTTTAGGCAGAGCATAAATCATGAATCAGATAGTAGAAATTGTGCATGATTGTTGAAATATGGCTTAGCTGTTTAGCTGACAAAAAGAAATTTGACTAAATACATTTAATAGCCACCAAAATTTTGAAAGTAGATTCAAATAAATAAACAATAAAAAAAAATGTTTGCTACGTCTGGCCAATGTTAATACTGGCATTAATTATATTTCAATGGGAATGATAATTTTTAAAATTGATATATATTCTATTTAATCTGCTCGTTTCTTAATTGTTTTGCATTTGAAAATGCACCGAAACAAAATTCGATGCAAAAATGCATCGAAACGTCTTTTAAGGAAATAAGTAAAGGTTAAAAATTAAAATATCTGGTATGTTTTGTTCTTCACCTTACAAGTTGCTTAGATATTACATTTTGAATAAATTCCATTACAAATTTTTGTGCAAATGTATTTATATTACTACATTTACATTAAAAAAATGGGACCATTTTTTTTAGTATTTGTCTACTGGCCTTCATTTTATTCATAATATGACATTAAACGTAGACATGTTTTCTAACGATAAAGACATTTGTACAAAATGGACAAAACGAATTGCAAAGTTAAACGTTACTAAAATAGTTTTCCAGTAAATCACCAACCCATTAATAACTTCTACATAAATGTTAGTGATGGGCACTATCGAATGATTGGGACTATCGAATAATTACTAAATGAATGATTGCAACTATCGAATGAATTCAGTTATAGTGCAGTGTAGAAATGTTACAGATTACAAACTTATCTTCTTTTGAAAATACATGTTTCTCGTTAAGAAAGGGTCACAGATAAAAACTGTTGATAGGCCCTACGCTACAGCTATTTTAAAAATAAAACAATAGTTAGAAATACCCCTGTATGATCGATCGAACAATCCTCTGGAGTTTCTGAATAAGATTAGAAGTTTATTCCTACAACTTCAGTTCCCTTAAGAACGATTATTTTCAAAAACTGGACTGAAAAGTTACTAATAATCGTAGAAACAGACTGCCTTCAAAAAATTTAGATACAATCATATTTTTACAAATAATATTGCAAAGCTTGATTTTTAAATATGTATATATACATTTTAATTTTATATAATTAAAGATTAATTATTAATTTAATTTTTGTTTCGTAAATGTATTTCTTCTTTCGGTTGTCATTTATTTATATTTGTTTTAACTCAATGTTTATATTTACTACATTTTTGTAGAAATAATATACTAAAAAATCCGCAATTGAGTCGTATTTAATACTGTTGCTAATAGTTCCTATTAATTATGAAAATATTGATACCTACAGCATTTTTTCAATAAATTTGTTTTTGGAAAAAACAACTATGTTAATAGATGAATATTAAATATCTTTGCTTAAAACGTGAAAAATTAATTTATTAATTATAACAAAAAATAAAACACTGCTATCGAATAATTGAAATAAATTACATTTATTTTCTTTTCTATCGAAGAATTCGAATAAATTGCCACTATAGAATAATTAATTCGATATTTTTATTCGATAGTTCTCATCACTAATAAATGTGTAATGCATAAAATATCTTAAAATATTCTTTATTGTGAATTTAACAAGGAGTATGTCTCAATCATTTAGTTCTTGGACCTTGTACTTTCTGTTTGTTGAATCTGAATAAAAAATATTGAAAAAAGCAAGTAGATGAAGATTGTAAAATATGAATATATAAAAAAGGGCAGAAAGACCGATCGGGTCGATAGCCTTTTTCTGTATATATATACAATAAAAGAAATTTTAGAAATTACAACTATATACATATATTTTTTTTTCAATCTCGACTCTCTTACCTATCAATTTCGTCCATGTTGAGAGGGATATCAGCAGGAACAGCCATCGACAGATACCCGTCTGAAAACATAAATAGAACTGTAATAAAATTATGTGCAACATTTGTATAAATTATGTAATTTTATATTAACATACTAATAATATTAACAAGTACATTTTATTGCTAAAACGACTCTTGTGGTTCAGAACAAAGCATCGGAAAAAATCGTGAACTAAACTTCCTAACATAAAAATTGAAAGGAGTAGTAGCATTGGAGGTGCAATCAGTTTTACACAAAGTTTTTCAATCTTTATGGGTTTCTCTGATGTTTACTACGAGAAACATTTTTGCCCTTATTTGTCTATCAAGCGCCTGCATTTTTGCAGAAATGAGCAGTAATCATAAGCAAATGTCTCGACGTCAACCAGAACTTGCTATGCATGTTTATGGATTACAGTAAGGCGTTTGACTGTTAAACGAGAAAAACTCTTAAATAAATTTGCAGAAGATTAATATCGACTGTCATTACATACGAATAACATCGAAAGTTTATTGGGACAAGAAGCAAAGGCCTGGGTTGCACTGTGTTGAGTTGCGCTTTTGAGTTGATGCCGCTCTGTGAGTCAGTGAGTTGTAACTCATCGCGCCCATGCGCCGCACCTCAAATTGCGCTTGTTTCAGAATAATTCTTCCAATCAGAATCAGAACCAGTCCTTCTAAAGGACATTTCTAATTAGTTGAAATTTTGTTGGTTTCTATCATTGCTCGGAAATTGAGCAATAGTTACATTTTTAAGCGACTTGTTCAGTCGATATTCTTATAAAAACAAAATTAATTCCGGTATTAAATTTAGTTTTGGCGTTGTGCATTAATCACTGCAGCTGAGTGAAATTCAAACAAATATCAAAGGCTCTAAATTTAAAATTAAATTAGTGAAAGATCGGCAATTGGAGCGTTTTTCGTATAAGTTGTTGTGGACTTTCGTTAAGTTGGATCGTGAAATTTGCCTTCCGAAATATTGCAATGCGAACAGGCACTTTCCACAAAAATTTCAACGATAAACAAACTGATTTCGAATCGCCAAGTAAAGCATGAATCATCGACAGGGCGAACAATTAAATGATTAAATAATCATGTTTATTCCGTAGTTCGGTGTCTTTTTTCAACATTCAGTTTGCTATCGACAGTAGACAAAATTAGTCAATAATCGCATTCTTAGATGGGAAATACATATAGAATCCTTGTGGCCCTTATGGCAAGTGCGGTAGTTAGTGAGAGTCTACTGAAATTCTTGAGGATTAACGTGTGGAAAATGGAGGATAGCGCGACAGCTTGTAAAAAGCTGGTAAGAATGATCTCTCTATTCTATAAAACTTTCGGAATATTTCGGCGGCTTTGTATTTTTACATCAAGCTCATCTAAAGCTTGTCTCCAAAGAAACGTCTCAGATATACAAATACGGAATCCAGTTTCATGTTTTTTATTTTAAAAAATTTTAGTTTGGCTCTTTTTTCTAAATTGCGAGATCGACTAAAACATGGCGCCACCTTTTCTGACGTTGCTCAAGAACCATTTGAGCCACAGAGTTCGTTTTTATATCATTGGATAGACGTGGAAGACCTGCAGGACATGGCAGCAACCTCCAGTGGAAAAGTTGAGACAACTAGAACAAGATCTGAATATGTCCAAAATTCTTGTGGAAGATCTAAATAGTGATCGAATAGTTTAAGACTTTAAGAGATTGTTAGATAGAAACGTGTGGTCTCCAAATATGAAGACGACAATAGACGTCAATGGACACACAATTTTAAATTCAGTCACACTTGAAAGTATGTTAGATAGAACAACAATCAATCGGCCCCAAAAGGTTCCAAAAGGTAAGTCAGTTTACAGTAGTAGGACTGTAATAGTTGGTAGAAAATCCAATTCCAAGATGAAAATAAAACGGCTTTGTTTTTGAGATACGAGATCGCAAAGTTCACATTTTCTTAAATTAATTTTTAATTCCAAAATTAAAATCAAGTCCTGGGTTCTTCAGTCATTTATTTATTGTTCATTTATCAATTTAAAAAACCGTTTCGGTGTTTTCCACCATCATCAGTTTTAATGTGTAGCGTTGTTGCTACTTTACGCCTTGGGCATGTATTTGGATTATTCTTAATTTTGGAATTGAAACACAGTCAGGAAAGTACGTACAATTAATTTTTAAGAAAATAATTCACTACTGTATTAAAATATGTTGTAATAAAATTGTATATTATGGGGCTTAACACAATATTAATTTTCAAAGCTCAAGCAACTACATGACTATAATTCAATTGCCAAATTATAATCACGTCTTGGTGCCTACCTGTATCAACTTCGTATTTAAAAATTTATTTTTTTTGCTCATATTATTATAAAAAGTACTCTTGTTTGAAATCGATCCGCGTAACGAGTTTTTTTCAAAAACTTTTTAGGAAAGTAATAAACTTGGACAAGTATGGATGCGCTATTGCGATAGAATATAAGCAGTGTGCTAATATTTACGTAAATCATTAAGGAAAACTTTGATAATACGTTTCCTTAGCCACCCTGCATCTCAAAGGCAAAAACGTTTTCAATATATGTTTATGATACATTTTCATTTCGAAATTGGATTTTCGTGAATGTTAACCTTGCTAAAACAAAGTATTATTTAAACATAAAAATTGCTATCTTAAAGAAACAGAGTTTTAACTAATTTTAATCTAGTTGATTATTCGCTCGCTAATTTTTTTATATGTTTTTCGAATTCTTCTAGTTCACAAAGCCAATTGTTACAAGTGTCATTTGAATAGTTAGAATTATGTTTGCCTCACTGTTCCAAGAAGAAATCAAGAAAAAACTGCGAAAATATTAAATCTTATGCCCGCATTCTGTTGCGTTCACTACAAAAAAAAGTAGTTTTTCGTATTTTGACCGAGTTTAAATATTTAATCATTATTTTATTTTCAATTTACGTGAATAAACGATCCGAAACAGCTAATGGTATGAATAATCATGAATGCAAAATTGACAAAGGAGAAAAACCGAAAGAACTTCCTAACCAGATTCAAGAATCTTGCCCTTGTCCCAAAATTTATTCAGACAAACTGATGATGAAACACCGAAACCTTTTTAAGAGAATTGAATAAATTGCGATATCTAAATAAATAACTGAAACCTAGCAATATCGTTTATATTAAAACTGGAAATACAGTCAGGCAAACTTACATTATGAATGGAAATCTTTGGAAGTACAGCATTAGGTATAGATCAGATGAAGGAATGCAGCAGCAAAACTGTCAGAGGAGAAAAATCTAAAAAACTTCCTAACCAGATCCAAGAATTTTGTCCCAAAATCGACACAGACAAACTGATGATGGAAAAACACCGAAACTGTATTAAGAAAATTGGATAAATTGTGATATCTAAGTAAACGACTGAAACGTAGGAATATTATTTGTATTAAAAAATGTACGAACAAAGTCCTCGACGGTATAAACTAGTAGTTTTCAATACAATCGCGTCGATGATATAATTCTTATGTTGATGAGTCAATAAGGAGTAATTAGACCAATACCGATTCACTGCATTGAAAATTGCCAACAATTTTATTGAGAAATAACTAATAAATATTTCCATCTACATTCCGACTACGTTTAAGCAGCCCAGACGAATGCGGAAAATAATTAATTATGACCCATGACCCACTTCCAAACTCCAAGCCATATCTTCGCGATCATGAAACCTTTAATACCATTTTGCAAGCATTTAAAAATTGGTTTATAAACACCAGCCAAAGAGAAAGTAATTCCATATTGTATAACAAATACAGGTGAAAATGATTGGAGCAGGCGTGGTGTTATTGTCGACAGGTAGACGATACTTATGTGATGCTGTAATTTGTTAGGATTTTCACAAAATATTTTGTAATTGTTTTAGACGTTATCTTTTCCGTTTGGTGAAAGTCTAGCCGGAATTTGTGCAAATATTCAAGTGCTTAATGGCACAGACGTGTAGCCACAATGATTATTGTTATCTGAAAAGTCATTTAACCGACTGCAAGGTGGTAATTTTATTGAAAAATATTATTGGTTCATTAGATAAAACGTTGTTCAAGCGGAAAATCTTGATACAGATAACTAATAACTATCAGGAAAAGATTCCGTAAAGAATGTGGAGAACTAGACTAAAAGACAGCGGAAATAATTAAAGCAGCTTCATTCACTAAATGCAGAAAGCAGATAAATTGATGTAAAAGTGGAACTAGCGCAGAAACATTCTACGTTGATGGAGATGAAAAGTGACTTGCAATTTTAGATGAAAGCAGATTCGAAAAAGGACATTATGACTAATAGCAAGCAGTAAGGTTTTACTGAACTCAGAATTCTGTTAACTTTTCCAATGCAAACAAACCAATTAGGTTAATTAATGCTTGTGCAAAAATCAAATTTTATCTTACCGACAAACAACTGTTGTCCATTTATTATGTCCAAGAATTTCGCACCTAAAATGCGGAATTTTATTTTGACAGCCTTTTCCATCAGCTTTTGCAGTTTTTATTCAAAGGAAGCTGTAAATTGTCTGGCATGTGCTGAAAACACACATTTTTGAAAAGTATTATTAACACGCTTTAAAGCTCTAATCCTTGTATTAATCTTACTCTATAAAATATGCTTAGGTGTTTTTATAAAGAAATATTTTTATGCTAAATAAAGATATTTAACACACTTAACATCCATAAAGCTAATTACATGTTACATTTCAACAAATTGGAGCAGGGTAAAATTGTCTTCCACATCATATAGGAGCTATATACATTTTACAAAATCAGGCCACCTGTTTTTATTGGGTGGATGCTTTCATACTTTTAAGGAGTTCTTTAACGATTAATACAATTAAAGTGTAATTTTTATGTTGCTTTTATTAGACACATTGAGTCAGTCTATAAGTAGCATGAAAGGGACTTCGTTTTTGAAATACAATAAGGCAAAGTTAAAATGTTATTTTATTTATTTGTTTATGAAATTTACATATGAAAACCATTTGAGATCGTCGAATTTTTTATAGCCCCCCG